TGGCTGCTATGAACCTGACCCAAAAGCAAAGGAAGTAAAAGCAAAAATAAATAAATGGAACTACATCAAACTAAAAAGCTTCTGCACAGGAAAAGAAACCATTAACAAACCAACCAACCAAAAAAGCAACCAACCAAATGGGAGAGGTATTAGCAAACAATACTTCAATAAAGGGCTAATACCCAAAATATATGAGAAACTCATGCAACTCAACAACAAAACAATCCTATTAAAAATGGGCAGAGGACCTGCACAGACACTTTTTCCAAGAAGACATACAAATGGCCAACAGATATATGAAAATATACGCAAACTTCGCTAGCTATAAGGGAAATACAAGTCAAAATCACAATGAGAAACTACCTATTAGAATGGTTATTTTCAAGAAGACACAAAATAACAAATGCTGGAGAAGATGCGGAGAAAGGGGAATCCTCATTCATTGCTGGTGAGAATGTAAACTGCTATGGCCACTACGGAAAGCAATATGGAGGCTCCTCAAAAAAAAAAAAAGAGAATAGATCTATCATATGACCCAGCAATCCCTCTACTGGGTATCTACCAAAAAAATTTGAAAACATTTATTCATAAAGATATATGTATCCCTATGTTCATTGCAGCATTATTCACAGTAGCCACGAAATGAAAATGACTTAAATGTCCTTCAATAGATAACTGGATAAAGATGATGTGGTACATATATATAATGGGATACTACTAAGCCATAAGAAAGGATAAAATACTGCCATTTGCAACAACATGGATGGATCTTGAGAGTATCGTGATAAATAAGTCAGACAGAAAAGGAGAAGAACCATATGATTTCACTCCTATGTATGATATAAAACAGAAGTCAACAAACAAAACAAAACAAACTCATAGACACAGACAACAGTATGGTGGTTACCAGAGGAGAAAGGGTGGGGAGAGGATGAAGAGGGTAAAGGGGTGCCAAATACATGGTCACCGAAGGAGACTAGACTTTGGGTGGTGAGTACACAATGCAATACACAGGTGATGTATTATAAAATTGTACACTTGAAACATGTAATATATTAACCAATGTCACCTCAATAAATTTAATTTTAAAAATAGTAAGTTTTCTCCAGTTTTTTTTTAAACCAATTTGGTTTCAACTTTATCAGTGATGTGTTTTTTTCTTAGGCATTAGTCATGGGTACATGGCTAATTTTTTGCCTTTTAAAATCTCTTAAATTTTCCATTCTAAAAAGAGGTATATAATTCCAATAAAAGGCATTGTTTTGGGGGGGGTTCATTATTCTTTTCATTTATAATTGTCCAAAAATATCTTCATAAACATTAACCTTTGCCCTCTAAAATTTGCCCAGCTATTGTGGTTTACTGGTTGAGCATCAACCCATGAATCAGGAGTTCATGGTTTGATTCTGGTCAGGGCACATGCCCGGGTTGTGGGCTCGATTCCCCACTAGGGGGCGTCCAGGAGGCAGCCAACAATGATTCTCATCATTGATGTTTCCATCCCTCTCTCTGAAATCAATTTTAAAAATTAAATAAAATTAAACCAGTTTACTAGTGTAAAAACAAACCCAAGTTTCCATTCAAAATATAGTACTACATGATTGTGAATTCTACGAAATTATAATACCTCAGAAATGTAACGATCAGCTTGTTTTAGTAACTCCCCAATAATTAGAACATTCGAAGTAGTACCATCTCCTGTAATGTCATCCTGGGCTGTTGCTACTTTCGCTATCAAGGAAGCTGTTGGGTGTTGAATTTGCTGGAAAAAGCAAGCAACAGATTTAAAAAAGAGAGAGAATAAAGAAATAAAGAAATAGTCTACCAAAAATAAGATAACCTAAGGGTCAATAGTAAAATCAAGAAATGAGCCCTAGCTGGTTTGGCTCAGTAGAGAGAATGTTGGCCTGCGGACTGAAAGGTCTCAGGTTCAATTCCAGTCAAGGGCATGTACCTTGGTTGCAGGCACTTCCCCAGTAGGAGGCGTGCAGGAGGCAGCTGATCGATGCTTCTAACTCTCTATCCCTCTCCCTTCCTCTCTGTGAAAAATCAATAAAATATATTTTTTAAAAAAAGAAAGAAATGAAATAAGGGTGAAGGCCTGGAGAGGGGAAGGGAGTAGGAAGGGGGGCAGTGGTCAATGGGGGAAGAAAGGGAGACATCTGTAATACTTTAAACAATAAAGATTTTTTAAAGAAATGAAATAAACATCATTCTACAAGTTCATAAGTTTTGTATTATCAATTATTAATAAATGTCAAGACCGAGAGTTAAAAGTTGAGAACTAATGAGATTTGAACATTTTATAAGAGTCTTTGCTTCAGAATGCAATGACATTTCCTAAATTAGATTAAATCCTTAAATCTCAAAGATGAATATATTTACTAAAATTGCAAAGGACTTTTCTCTTTTCCATGATTACAAAGAACATAATGTGATGCCTTTAAAAGATTCAACTAATTTGGAAGCATCCCTAAGCTATTACTAAAACTATACTAAGATTTGAAAACAGCCAAAAAAAAACCCCATTTTTTATTGAGGTTTAATCCAACAAGTGTACTTCATGATTGCAATATTTAGCTGAAAGCCTTGGTTTAAAGATATACAAACTGTATTATGCTCTCAGTTAAGGCTTATTAAGGTTTATTAAAGTCAGCAGCACCAGCTCACCATCTCATGAAGCAGCACATTGCCATCTTTGGTGAGTTTGATATCACCTGCACCAGAAACAAGCCTGTTCAGAAAACAGTGATGTTATTAACTTCGTATGGCAAGAGTCAAGCAAGACATAGCGCTTGCCACTCCACTCTCACTAATATAGGGAACTGGGCTTGGAAAACTTCCATCATCCGGAGAGATACCACAGTAAGCACCCCATTTGCAGCCCACAGAATCACTTTTCCCCAGATGGACTGCTATGGCGATTTCACTCCAAATGGACAATTTACAAGTTTAAGGATTAAGTGCAGTTGGTGAGTTATGACAGTGGTTTGGTCCAGAAGAGTACTTGGAAGTCTACAAGCCACACATTTGTGAATTTCCTGCAGGTTTATTTGGTGAAATGTTACCTTTCATTCACTCAGTGTAGTTTCTTCCCTCATCCCTCACATTTATTAGAGTATCAAATTCTGTCATTCTACAACTAAAAGCCTCTTCCAACTACTCCCTCCTCTCCATTTCCAGTCATCATCACTGCAGTGTGGACTATTTAGTACCCACATACATCTGAATTTGAATCTACCCTCCATTTATCTTTCTATAAAGCAGGATGACTCAGTCAGCTCACTGATCAAAAATCCTCAGCCCAGCTGGTCTGGCTCAGTGGTTGAGCATGGACCTATGCACCAGTAGGTCATTGGTTCAAATCCCAGTCAGGACACATGTCCAGGTTGTGGGCTCTATCCCCAGTGTGGGGCGTGCAGGAGGCAGCCAATCGATGATTCTCTCTCATCACTGTTTCTTTCTCTTTCCCTCCCTTCTCTTAAATCACTATATATATATATATATATATATATATATATATATATATATATATCCTTCAATGATTTTCTTGTTCATCATTTTCAAGGTAAAATCCTTACTACTCAGCAATGACGTAGTTGACCCTTTCCCATCTGGTTGTATCTATTTAAAATGTTTCATCTACAAAATGAAATCTTGTGGGCAAATCTTATGGTTCCCTTAATACATCACGTTTGTTTTTGTTTCTCTTGGATTTATGCCAACTGATTTTCTTGTTCCTGAAGTTGCTCTATCTAAAAGACCATTGTCACTTCTCCAGCTGGTGAATTCTAACTCATCTTTCAAGACTCTGATAAAAAAAAATAATCCGTTATTTGAATCTTTTCCTTCCCCATTATCCCATCAATAATCAGTCCCTTTCCTTGGTGTTATATATTATATGATTAAAAATACAATACCTAACACATATTTTTAAACATATATATTATATAGAATATACATCACATTCGTTCCTAACCAGTCAGTCCCCTTAAAAACTAAAACTTTATCTTGGTCATCTCTGTGTTCTCAGCATCCCATAATAAGCACCCTCTTTTACTGTTAATGTATTTTGCTCATTCCTGAGGCTGTATCTCTCCTCTTACACCTTTTTCTGTTAATTTGCTCATTCCTGAGGCTGTATCTCTCCTTACATCTTTTTGCCCTCACTCGTCTTTCCTTCACTCTGTCCTAAATAATGGTGCTAAATACATGCTTAATGGATGAACAGATATGAAGAACCCTAGGCACAGAGCATCCGAGTAACTTGCCAAAGGACTCGCAGATGGAAACTGGGATTTGAACCCACACCTGTCAGGCTCCAAAGCCCGTGCCCTCCCCACACCTGCCGACCATCACCAAAACGAGGGGCCCACAGGCGCACAGCCTGAAGGAGCAGGGGCGTCAGATGGCTTAGGTTTCATTGAAAAACTGAACTTTCAAACTGCATATGAACCTTAACGGAAAGTTGGTGGGGCGGGAAGGGGCGCGACAGCGAGTCACAGCTTCCCTCGTGGGGCCTTTTGCTGGGGAGGCTTTTCCTCTCCTCCCGCACGGGGCCAGAGACGACCTCAGGGCAGGAATGAGGAGGAGGGAAGCCAGGCCCACAAGTGTGTCCACATGGCGCCGATCGCTTCGCGGAACGTCGGCCGACAGCGCGCCCGGACACCCGACACACCCCCGGCGCCCTAACCGCCGCTCTAACCGCCGCTCCAACCGCCGCCTCACATTTTCATGGTGCCCTTCGGACCCAGGTTGGTCCGCAGCACATCCTGCAGCCCTCGGGCTGCGCATATATTGACCGCCAAGGCCGCCTGGGCCCGCGCCACCTCAGCCTTGGCGTTTAAGGTCTTGATGGCAGCCATAGCAGGACGGTGGAAGCACCACCTGACCGCCCCAAACAGCCGGAGCCGCGATTCTGAGGTAAAACTCAGCGCCTCGGGCCACGCTCAGGAGCTCCAGCCAATCCTCGCCCGGGACGGAAGTGACGTCATCACGCATCGCCGAGGCGGAAGCCAGGCTCGCCGTGGGTCAGGTCGCAAAGATGGCGTCCCCCGCTTCGGCTCGGCCTTCGGCCGGAAAGCGAGTGGTGAGTCAGGATGAACTGCGGCGGTTGATGAAGGAGAAACAGCGTCAGAGCACCAACAGGAAACGCATAGAGTCTCCATTTGCGAAGTACAACCGTCTGGGGCAGCTGAGTTGTGCCCTGTGTAACGCCCCGGTTAAGAGCGAGCTCCTGTGGCAGACGCACGTCCTGGGGAAGCAGCACCGGGAGAGAGTGGCCGAGCTGAAAGGCGCCAAGGAGGCCACGCAGGGGCCGGCCGCCGGCGCAGTGCCTCCGTCCGCCAAGAGGAAGGCGCCGGACTCCGACGGCCAGGACGCCAAAAGGCCGAAGGCCCCCCAGGTGCCTCCGGTGCAGCCCTCCACGTCCGCTGTGCACGCCCACGTTGACAAAGCAGGAAAGGAGTCCATTAGAGCGACCCCCGGTAAGGCTTCGGCACTCGGTTTACTCCCTGATTATGAAGATGAGGAAGAGGAGGAGGAGGAAGAGAAGGAGAAGGGAGGAGAAAGGCCAGAGGGGGACGCCAGCAAGCAGCCGCCCGACACACAGGGCAGGGAACACCCACTTTCCTCCTCGCGGGAGGCAGCAAGCAGCGGGCTGCCTAGAGACTTCTCGACTGCAAATCCTCCCAAGGCCCCTGTAATTCCTCACTCGGGGTCCATTGAGAAAGCAGAAATACATGAGAAAATCGTGGAAAGGAGAGAAAACACTGCGGAAGCATTGCCGGAAGGCTTTTTTGACGACCCTGAGATAGATGCGAGGGTGCGAAAGGTTGACGCCCCGAAGGATCAGATGGACAAAGAGTGGGACGAATTTCAAAAGGCCATGAGACAGGTCAACACTATTTCCGAAGCCATCGTTGCTGAAGAGGATGAGGAGGGGCGGTTGGACCGGCAGATTGGGGAGATCGATGAGCAGATAGAGTGTTACCGTCGGGTGGAAAAGCTGCGGAATCGCCAGGATGAAATGAAACATCAGCTTAAAGAGGTCCTGACGATGAGAGAGCTGCAGAAAAAGGAAGAGGAGAATGTTGACAGCGACGATGAGGGAGAACTGCAGGATTTGTTGTCTCAGGATTGGAGGGTGAAGGGGGCTTTGTTGTAGGATTTCCAGGACCCAGTATTTCTAATACGCATAAAAAAGTGCTGTCTCTCCATATACTGATTACTCCATTCCTGGAGGTTTGATAACCTGACGAGGCTGTTGCAGTACAATATGAGCCTGTGAAAATAGCACTGTGGAAAATTGGTGTAAAATATTTTTGAGGTAAAGTTTTGAAATTTTTTCAGTGTTATATGTTAAAATGCCAACTTTTTCACATATATACGGATTTAAATGTATACTTTGGGGTTGGAAAATCTGTAAGCTGTAAATATTGTACATAGTTAAATATATATTTACTTAATTCTGTTTTTGAAGTTTACAAATTAATAGGAGGAGGACCAACAGACAAGCTTTTTGATGAATACCAAGTGTATTGGGACCCCCCCTAGGTCAAACTCAAGAGGGTGGGAGAGCTTTGCGTTTTTAAGAACACTACTCATAGATTCATAAGTCATTCACAGCTAATCAATTCTCTGTATTCTGTTTCAAACACGTGCTGTAGGAGAACATGGTGAAAAATATATGCCAAACATGACCAGCCTCCTTAACCCAAAGGAGAAACCCATTGGTTTCTCTCGAGTAAACCAGAGATTCTTGGATGTAGGTGCACATGAAGATCACTTAAGCAGCTTTTTTTTTTTCCTAATGTTTTTTATTTCAGAGAGGAAAGGAGAGAGAAACATCAATGATGAGAATCATTGATTGGCTGACTCCTGCACGCCCCGCCCCCCACTGGTGATAGAGCCTGCAACCCAGGCATGTGCCCTTGACTGGAATTGAACCCCATCAAAAATGAGTAGTAATAATAATAATAACCAAGGTTTATATAGTTCTTACAATAGAAGTGAGACAGGATTCTAAATGCTTTACATAAACTCAGCCTAATTTCCTTAAAGACTAGGTATTATGGAGGAAAGGAACAGAGATAAGGTTTTAAAAAGCTTTGAATGCTATATGAAAGAATTCTTCCTGTAGGTAATGTGGGAGAAGTGGAAGTTTTTGAGCAAAAAATTATATCTGCTAAAAACGTATGGAAGATGACTCAAGTTGCAGTATACACTATAATATCGTATATAATAGGGAATATATGTTCTGTGGAGAATGGAATGAGGATAGATAGGGGAAAAGGAAGCTGGTAAACTACTTCTAAACTAGATTTTTAAAGTATAGTAGACTTTGATTAAATATGGATTGAGAGAAAAGGAATAGATGTGAAAGAATTTCACAGGAAGAGCTAACATTTCAGTGACTAGAAATGGGGGGGGAAAAAACCCTAGGAGAGATAAAGATAGAATTGAAGGGTTTGGCGGAGTTTTTTAGTGTATATGCCTTAAAGAAGTTATCTGACACTTACTGAGAATATTCATTATCTTACTGTTTTTGGTAGAAAGTCTTTGCTTTCTTGAGCTGTCAGCTGATTGGTGATAGCAAATTCAGTTTGATAACATAGAATGGGCATGCCTGCCTCAACTGTATGAAAGAAACCACTTAGAGTTTTCTATAATTCATTGTTTATTATTTCAAAAGATGAGAAGGTACAAAGATGGTTCCAATTTTTTTTTTTAGTATATGTGCTGCCGAAGCGAGCACAGAGAAGGTACAAAGATGGACATGAATGGTTGGTCCAGTTCTATGTTGGCTTAAGAAGCAAGGCTAATGATGTAGAGCACTGTCCATTTAAAAATACAATGCAAAGCACATATATTTTTTTAACTTTTCTAGTAATTGCATGAAAAAAAGAAATGCAAAATTATTTTCAATAAATTTAATCCAAGTATATCCAAAAAACTAATGTTTCAACATGTAACCAATATTTAAATACTAGTGAAATATTTTACAATTTGGGGGTTCTACATTTATGAAATTTGGATGTATCTAACACATCTGTTTAGACTGGCCACATTTCAAGTACACACTAGCCCTATGTGACTAATGGCTACCATAAAGGACAGTGGAGATTTAAAGAGAAAGGTATACAGGTGGAGCACTGGCCAGTGTCTTCAGTGGTTAGAGCATGGGCCCATGTACAGAAGGGTTTCAGTTCAATTCCCAGTCAAGGGCATGTACCTGGGTTGCAGGTTTGATCCCTGGCCCCAGTTGGGAGCACATGCAGGAAGCAACCAATCGATGTGTGTCTCTCACATCAGTGTTTCTCTTTCTCTTCCCCCTCCCTTCCACTCTCTCTAAAAATCAATAGAAAGATATCCTCGAGTGAGGGTTAACAAAAAAACAAAAACTGGTATTTAGGTGGGAAAATTAAATATTAAAATTAAATCAGAGGTAGTTGGCAGAACAATTTAACTACAGTAGTGTTCATTCCTGACAATGGGAGTTATTGAAAAGGTAGATTATAAACCATTGTGGAGGCCCTCAACTGCCATGCTGTAAAGAGTTGGAACTTTCTCTAAGTTAACAATTGAGTGCTCTTTTTTAAACAATCGCTTATATATATAAACTGTGTGTGTGTGTGTGTGTGTGTGTGTGTGTGTGTGTGTGTGTGTATACTATATATATACCCCCCCTTTCCCCGGGAGGGAGAGAAACATCAATGATGAGAATCATTGATCGGCTGCCTTCGGCAAGCTCCCTACTAGGGATTGAGTCCACAATCACGGGCATGTGCCCTTGACTGGAATCGAACCCAGGACCCTTCAGTCTGCTGGCTGACATTCTATCCACTGAGCCAAACCAGCTAGGGCAACAATTGAGTATTCTTGAGGTTGTTGAGTTCTCGATTATAACACAGTTAAAGAAGAGCTTAAGTACTTCCAGGTATGTAACTACACACATAAACCCCATTGAATTTTTAGGAAGTCCAAAAAAGCTCTCAAAATCTGCTCCCAGTGCATGAGTGATGGGGTCTTGACCAAAATCAAGTGAATCCTTGTTAGATCTGAGAGCCATATAAACAGCTACACACATTGGAGAGCTCCTTTACACCTTTTTGAACCGGGTCAAATGGGTTTTGGCATTAGACTAAATACCACCAATGTTCCCAAATTGTGAGAATTAGTCCCAAGATTTCTTCCAGTCTCTTGTTCTCTTTTTAGAGAACCCCATAATTTAGCCAACAATACTTTAGAATTATTATAAATGCTACAAAGGTAATCCTCTCACCCACTTACCAGTTTAATACAGTTCCCCTACTTGGAGAGGAAAAATGCTGATTTCCTAACTAGCCTTCAAATGTACATTTGCCCAGTGCCTTACAATCTACGAAATGCTTTCATTTAATGATGGAAGTAATGACTACCTTTTACATGCCAGGGAACAAAATAAGAGGCTGTGGAATTAAAATTGCATGAAAAAGAATATAATTTAGACCTAAAACCTTTAATAGTAACAATTCCTAGATTAGTATGGAGTTAACAGGAAGAACAAGAAAATTGGCAAGAGAAAATAAGACTCAAGTTCAGGTTCCCATTCTAGCTTTTAATGGCTAGTGATCTTGGGAAAGTCACCTCTCTCAACTTTAGTTTGCTTCACTGTAAAACGATGATACTTCACAGGATGTGGTGAGAATCAAATGACATGTGAAAGAGTGGTAAAAAGACCAACCTGACTCTTGAAAGTCAGAACAAGAAAGAGGTTTAAACAATTAAATATATTTTGATTGCTTTCAGAGAGGAAGGGAAGGAAGAGAGGGGGATAGAGAGATAGAAACTTCAATGATGAGAGAGAATCAGTGATCAGCCACCTCCTGCAGGCCCCCAAACCCAGAATCAAAGCGCTACCTCCTGGTTCATAGGTCAAGACAACCACCGAGCCATGCTGGCCAGGAGTTAGAGCAGATGGTTTTGTTGAGATTTAACTCTAAATCCTTAATTTTGCCATGAGTCAAGTGGCATCTCAACTTTTAAAGATTTTTAAGTTGCCTGTCTAAAGACAGAGATGGCCTAAGTACTGTTACTTTTGCTTACAAGGTTTGCCCAGGAAAGTGACAGCTTTCTTAGTGTAATTATGAATAGTGTCCCCTTTCACTCTCAATAGTATTCCTTTTTGGAGAGGAGAAGACGAGAGAGAGAGAGAGAGAGAGAGAGAGAGAGAGAGAGAGAGAGACTGAGACTCACCTAAATAGATATCAGAGAGAGAGAGAAAAAAAAAAAACATTGGAAAGCCTTAATGGATGTAGTATGTTTCCTGTTTATGATGCACCAATGGGCTAGATCAGGGGTCCTCAAACTACGGCCCGCGGGCCACATGCAAATACAAATATTGTATTTGTTCCCGTTTTGTTTTTTTACTTCAAAATAAGATATGTGCAGTGTGCATAGGAATTTGTTCATAGTTTTTTTTTATACTATAGTCCGGCCCTCCAGTGGTCTGAGGGACAGTGAACTGGCCCCCTGTTTAAAAAGTTTGAGGACCCCTGGGCTAGATACTTGGCTAGATGTTGTATGGGGGGATTTGAGTAAATATATGGGTAGGAATGGTGGCTAGAAAGATGACCTTAGATTTCTTTTAATACTAAGATCTAGAAGCCTATATGATACCAGGAATTTAGAAACTTTAAATTTGAATAGGGAGAAAGAAAAATCCCAAAGCTACATCCTATTTTCGATCTACCTTTCCTCCCTCAATGATCTCATCCATACCCATGGGTTTAAATATCACCTATATATTGACGACTCACAATTTATAGCCCCAGCCTTGACCTTATTCCTGGGAGTCATCCTTCATTCCTTTTTCTTAGTCCCCAAATCTACAAGTATGTCCAGAATCTGTCCACTCCTTTCTATCTCCACTGGTCCTAGCCACCAACATCTCGCATCAATTGTTGTCTATTTCCCCCTCCCTAGCCACAGTCTGTTACCAACAAAGTAGAGTGATCTTTTTAAAATTTAGGTAAGTCAATCTGTCACTTAAAACCATATATTCTTCCATCACACTTGGGGGGCGGGGAGAGGGGGGCGGGAACCCTGGCCCTTAAGCCTACTTGGTGCTCAGCAATCACTAATTCAAATGTCTACTCTTTATGAACTAATGACCACACTCCAATTAAAGGGGGATAGGAGGGGAAAGGCAAGCATAA